CTGCAGCGCGGGGCTCCCCGCGGCCCCGAGAGCCGCTCCGTGCGCCGCGCTCCCGCCAAAGTCGGCAGGGGGGGCGGCGAGGGAGCGCAAGCCCGGGCAGCTTTGGCCGCGCGTTTCGCTGATCCAGGCCTGGGCCGCAGGGAGGGGCGGGGGGGGGGCTGCGGAGCGGGGGAGCGGCGCACGGGGGCGGCGCGGGGGGGGGGGCGGGGGCCGCGGCGCTTTGCATGCGGGGCTGGTGCGCGCCTGGCTATAAATAGCATCCCGGGCTGCAGCCTGCCCCGCGTCGCGGGGAGGAGGCAGCGCCTATTCGAGCGGGGGGGGGGGGGGGAGGATGAAAAGCTGCGGGGGGTTGCGGGGGATGTCATGGCAACGCTGCCCCTCCCCCTCTGGGGAGGAGACCACCAGGTAGCGCAAGCAGCCGGGGCTCGGAGCGGAGTCGGGGCGCTGCGAGGGAGAGGCGGGGCGAAGGCGCAGGAAGACCTCTGTGGGCGGGGCCCCGTTGATGGGGATGTCTTGGGGGGGCTCGCAGGCAGTCGGAGGGCACCCCGCTATTCTGCAGGCGAGGAACCGGGCTGAGGCCAGACACTGCGCAGGGGCGTATGGGTCCTGTGTGCCCCGAGAGCCCCCGCTCGAGTGAGTCCCAGGCAGGCCCCCACGGACGACGCCTGTGCATCTGTGGGGCACTCCAGATGCCCTCCTGCAGCGGCCGGCCTTGTTCCCATCTCATGCACGGGCGGGCGCAGGTGCCGCCGCTGCCGGGGAGCCGGAGGGACCTGCGCTCGGCCGCCTCAGCAGCCATGAGGGGGATCTCGGCAAAGGCGTGCCAGGAAAGAGAAGCGCCCGGGATCGATGTGGGGGGTGGTCTCGGCGAGCCGCAGGCCCGGCGAAGCTCTTGACACGCAGGGTTGGCCGCCTGGTGTCCCCGAAGGGGCCTTAAGGCAGCCTCCAGCGCCCCCTGCCCGACGCACAAACACTCTCAGGCGGCTGCGAAGGTGTGGATAATTTATAAGCAGGCAGCGGCGGATGTCGGGCTGCCTGCCGGCCTTGCAAAGCGGCTGGAAAAGCCGAGCCTGCTGCGCAGGGAAGAAAATAAGCCAGGCTGCCTCACACCGGGACCCTTGCCGGGCCGCCCATCCATCCCAGCTGGTGGTGGCGGTTGCCTGCTCAGCCACAGCTGCCGCATCTCGGTGGCTTGGGCTCCCCAACCGCCGAGGCATCCAGAGAGACTGCCACTGAATATGGAGGGGCCCCGGAGCACTGCTTGGGCTGTCAAGGAATTCAAAGGGAGTCTGCACTCCCATGGAATTCCCACAGGGAAGCCGCCCTTGCAGGGTCCGGACTGGACTGGGACAGACGTATTGCTTTTCAAGCCGTGTTGGTTTTACTGGTTGGCTTTTCCTCGTCGTCTGTATCCTGGCCTTCCTCACAGGGAGCCCCGGGCAGCTAAGAACCCTCAGGAAACAGAGTCCTGCAAGCTGCTTGGAACCTGAGCTGCTTTCCCTGCGGCGGATTTTCCTGGGGTTTTGCTTTCTCTGCTTTTCTACGTGTTCCAGTGCATGACCGCAAGGTGGGCGATAGCACCATTTCCAGACAGAACGGCGCTTTTAACGAGTTCAGGCAGCCGCAGACGTGGTTGCAAGGTGTGGGAGAAGCCCCCGAGGGGGGTGGCAGTGCTTAAAGCGCCCCCCCAAACCAGAGGGAGTGCATAATCACAATGCACCGTAAATGCCCAGTAACATCAGAGTCGAGGCTTGGAGGCAAACTGGGTTTCTGCCCCTTTCTGGAGCCCCTTTCACTCCTGGATCGGGGGCTCAGAGACGCTGCAGGTCAGAGGGAAAGTGTCCACAGGCCAGTTGGATCTGTGGTTCCTCCACTGCACCAAGAGCATGAATGGGGGGCTGGAAGGGCGGGGAATACAGGAATTTATTTATAAAAAATCATGTTATTTATTTTTACAAGTGCACCCTTCAGTCACCTTCAAAGCAAAACAGGTTTTGATCTCGTTGAATTTGATGCCTTTTAGTGCTTCCGCTGTTTTTGGTTCACCTCTTCCAATCTGCACCATGTTTCGCGTTGAAGGGGGGGACAAAAGTTTTTCCATGGGAGGGGGGACAAAGGTTATCTAACGCACCCTGTTCTTCCGCCTGGAACACTCACCTAGTGGGGGAAGCCTGCACTACCGGGGGGCCACCCTCCAGAAGATCATTCCTGTTTCTGGGGGTCCCCCCATATATAACAAAATGCAATCCATTAATTAGTTTATTTTTATTTATTTATTTATTTATTAAAACATTTTTATGCCGCCCCATTCGCCGAAGCCTCGGGGCGGCTCACAACATCAAGTTGTAGTTGCCTTTACCCTCAAAACCTGCAAGGATAAATAGGTCTTGAGCTGGTTCCCAAAGGACACAACCAGCTCTCCATCAGAAGAGTTCGAGAGCCGGGCAGCTACCACCAAAAAGGCCCTGCCAGAGTGCGGGTCCCAGAGCCACATTCCTCAGAAGTGTCACGAGCATAATCGAGCATAAATCCCAGGATGGCCAGTACTGGGGGAATTCCAGGTCTGCGGGTCCGGCATGACTTTAGTCTGTGACGCAGCGAGGTCGTGGATGGTCACCGCTGCCTGCGCCACGTTCCCCATGTTGGATGCCTGCCTGCATCATTGGACGCCTGCGTGGCTTTTGCAGGTGTTGTGAGAAACAGCGACGGCAAGACGAATGGAACCGCAGCCCAGGCATGCTCCTTTCACTATGGGATGGATCCGGACTGGCTCATCCTCAAGGCCGCTGCAGTCAACACGGCTTCGGCGCGTCACAACCAGCTCCGTTTATTCCAATGGGACTGCTCTCAGGGTTGCTGTGTCTGAATCCAGCCCTCTTTCTCGCATGTGCTGATACCGCATTCTGGATATAAATATGCCTTGTGTTCCAAGCACCCTAGAACAGACGCTACAATTATGCGGGAGAGAGTGCTTCTGACCACGTGCAGAGCACATGGGCACTCATGCATGGAAAAGGCACGGCTCTCGCCCTGCACATCACACCTGGGGTGAGGAGGAAGCTGTTGGCCGCCCAGAAAACGGGCCTCAGAGCAGTGGGGTGCCCCTCTCTTTAGCCAGACGTCTCTCCTGGGGTCGTTCTTTAGCCAGACGTCTCTCCTGCAGCTTCCAGGCTCAGATCTGGAGGGATAAAGGCCCGGCGGGTATTTCCGGAGATGGAGACCCTCTGTGTAAATGTGGGGTGCTCCCTTCTTCCCGCCTCCCGTGATTCTCTGGGTGGGAGCGATTCGGCCTCTTGCACCGCTGAACTAGAAAGCGTTTGCAGTGAGTTACTGGGGGAGAGGAGAGAGGGGGCGAGAACTGGAGGGGGGGGCTCGCTGCATGCCCTGCTCTGCCTCAGCGGCACCGCGGGTGTGGCAGAGAGAAGGGATGGCTGGGCGCCTTCTGGGATGGCAGGCACACTGCACATGCCCAGATGCCCTTCGTGCTCTGCAGATGTGCTGGACTGCCACTCCCCTCATCCTCATGTGCCATGTTGGGTGGGGATGATGGCCCCCCCCCAACAGATCAGAGAGTGGGGGCATGGGGGGAAGGTTACTTGTGAGGGTTGCCAGTGAACTCTGCCTGGACGCAAGGAGTGGCATCCCCCCTTCGGCCCCCGGCTTGGCGACAGGAGATGGATCCCGCCCTCCAGGTGTGCTGAGCTACGTGCCCTGCAAGTGGGGGGAGGTGAGATCACTTGGTTATCTCGATCAATTACGTTTAATTTGGGGGGAACGTGCCCCAAACGAACCAGGCATTTTTGAAGCGCTATTTTAACAGAAGTTGCAATTGCCACCGGCTGCTGGAGAAGACGCACGGCCCGCCGAGTCCCCGCGGGAGGGAGCCCCGCTACCGGGCCCCGCTTCGGGCGCCTGGTTAACCGGCGCAAGCTCGCCGGATTCGGGGAGAGGATTCCTGGGACCGGGCCGTGCAGCCCAAGATGGAGGGATCGCGCACACGCCCCCCGCGCGGGCTCCCGGAGCGCGACGGTCGCGCCTTTGCTGCCCTCTCGCGCCGGGATCTCGCAACGCCGCCCGCGAGGCGGCGGCCGCGGCTTGCTTAGGGACGGTTTCGGGGCGTTCCTGCGGTGCAAACGCAGGACGACTCCGCGCCCGACAGAAGATCCGGGGCAGGCGAGGCGGTAAAAAGCCGAGCCAAGCGCTTGCGGGAGATCCCCCGTGCCCCCTCCTATGGACCCCCCCAAAGCCCCCTCCCCTCTTTCCAACGCATGCTTGCGCCCGGGACATCGCGGTGGCGCGTGCATGATGCCGGGGGAGGGGAGACGGGTGGGAGATGCTGCAGGAGGTGGGACCCACGATCTCGAGGGATCCAAAGGGAATTTCTCTCTCTCTCTCTCTCTCCCCAGCAGAGGGCGCGGCAGGCACGCCTGGGACCGTCGGGGTCCTAAGCGAGGCGCCCGCCCACCCGTTTTCCCCGAAAGAGGTGGGCGGGCGGCGGGGCGACGCAATGGCCCCACGCGCCGGCGCTCGCCCCGCGCAACCGAAGAGCGGCGCAGTGCAAAACGCAAAGGCAGCCCGCGGCGCCTGACGTCACGGACCCCCCCCCCCGAGGCCGTCCCTTTCGCGCCGTTCGATTGGCTCCCGGGACGCGACCCACTTCCCCGATGCAGCCTATCGTTTAGCAAAGAGGCGGCGAGCGAGGAGCGGACGAGCCTGCTTTCCCATTGGGCAGCCCCTCGCGCCAATCCCGGCCCCGTGCGTCGCAGGGCGCTTCCTGCAATTGGCCGTCGGTTCCCAGCGCAGCCAATACGGAATGAGGGGGCGCCTTCGTCGGGGAAGCGACCGAGAGGGCTGATTGGCTACGATGCTCCGTTGGTGCCGGGGCGGGGGCTGCATGCCAAGGAGGCGGTGTTGGAGGCTGATTCGCTGTGAGGCGGTCCGAGGGCGGAGCCTGCCTGCCGAGGAGGCGTCCAGGGCGCTGATTGGCTAAGGCGCGCCCCGGGCAGGAAGCGGCGGCGGCGGGCTGAGCATGGCCGGCGCGGCGGGGCCGCTGTTCCGACGCCTCGGGGCGCTGAGCGGGGCCGCGGCGGTGGGCGCGGCCGCTTACGGGGCGCACGGTAAGGGCGGGGCGCGCGCCTGGCGGGGCGGCGGCTCTGCAGGCGGGGGCGCCCTGAGCGCCCGGCCTCGTCCGCGCCGGGGCCGCGACGGTGTGACCGGGGAGGGAAGCGGCCGCCCGCGGGGCGAGGCGGAGGCGTGGACGCCGCTCCGGAGCGGAGGACGCTCCCCCGCAGCACGAGCCCCCGCTGGGCCCAGTCCACCGGGGCGGGCGCCTCGTGCGGCTTCGCTCTCGCGGGACGCGTGCCGGGGCCGCCCGCGCATTGGGCCCGCTCGGCGCGGTCCGCGGCTGCCTCATGGCCTCCGGGCAGCCCTGGCGGGTGGGGCGGCCCGCAGCGCGCCCGAGAAACTCACGCCCCGCCCCCGTGTCTGCCCCGCCCCCTTCCCAGGATTCCGCCGGAGCGACCGGGACGACTACCTGAAGGAGGTAAGGCGCCCCCCCCCGCCCCCTGCAGCTCGGGCCCAGGCCGGGAGGGGCGCCTGCCTTCGGTGGACTGCTGAGCTGGGGGTGGGAGGCCTTGCCGCGCTTCGGCCAGGGACCCTGGGGATGATGGGCACGGGCGTCCGGCACACCTGGAGTGCTCCAGGTGGGGGGAGCCTGGCCCAGAGTCCTCGTGGACCTCCGGGCTCTCCGGGCTTCCAGCGCCGTCCCTGCCCGAGATGCCGCCCCTCGGACCGGGGCCTGCCCATCGAGGGCCCTGCTCAGGGAGACCAGGGCCTGAGTCGTGGCTTCCACTGTCCCCCCGCAGCTCTTCGAGACGGCGAATAAGTACCACATGGTGCACAGCCTGGCGCTCCTGGCCGTCCCCCACTGCCGGTACCCTGCGCTGGTAGGTATGCGGGATTGCGATCCGCCTTGGGAGGGGACGGCGCCTGCCCAAAGGCCATCGAGCAGGCTCAAAACAACCACCACAGCCCTTCCCTGAGCACCTGCTTTCCTCGGCCTAGCACCCTCCGGAGGCACCGGGTTGCAGTTCCCATCATGCCTCGCCAGGTCCCCCAAACCCACCAGTATCCCCCACCCGGCTTCTTTCTCAGTGGCTGTTTCACCAACCCATGAATGGACCCTGGGAGTGAACCCTGGCGCAGCGAGAGGGCACGCCGTGCCGCCCAGGTATCTGGGACTGTACCTGCTGTGGTGGTTGCCCATTGGCCATGTGGGCCTGACGGGAGTCGTAATGCAACAGGCCTCCTGGCCCCAGTGGCAGTTTCTGGTGGTCAGAGCATTCCATGCCGTTGGCCTCGCTCCAAACGTCCGGATTGTCCCTGCCAGGAAGGCCAGCCCAGGGGCCAAGCAGGAGGGACCCGGCTCCCCCTCGGCTCCCTGGCGAGCTCGGGGCAGTGCCGCGATCCCGTGCTGCCCCAGTGCACCGGGTTCCTGCCAGCGTGCAGAGCGAGCGCTTCCGATGGCTCACGTGAGCGAGTCACACCGATGGTTGCCAGGAATATTAAAGGGCTGAGGAGGAGGAGGAGGAGCTGAAAGTCGCTCCTCAACATTGCTGGATGCAAGCAGCAGCACGTCCTCCGGACATGGAGCGCTGATGAGCAATTATCCTAACGAGCTAAGAGAGGCTGTGTCACGTGCAGCCTGTGCGGTTTCCATTTATTTATTCATTCCTGATATTTCTGCCCCGCCCATTAGCCAGAATGTCTTCCTGGACGGCTGGTGGCCGCCCCAGGTGTGGGACTCTTCCCCCAGAAGGGCTGTTTTCCCTTGGGGATCGTGGCTGTGGGGCCCAGCCCAACGGGGATGAGGCTGCCTCGCTTCCTCACCCCCCCCCCACGCAGGCAGCACCACCACAGGTGCCTCCTTTCGCAGCCCCGGTGGAGGCCTGTGCCGCATTTCCACGCTGGCTGAAGATGCGTGGAGCCCTCTGGCTGCAGAGAAGCCCCAGGAGCCCGGATGGGGCTCCCCCCCCCCCCCCAGCAGAAGATGAGTCGGGACTTTGATTCAGTTCTGCTGCGAGGCTGGCGTGGGACCCCTGCCTGGCCACAGAGAGCGGCTTCCGCTTCTTCCCAAAGCTTCGGTTAACCTGCACCTTTGCTGTCTTGCAGGCCGGGAGTATCCTGGTAGCCGGAATGACACTGTTCTCTGGCACGTTTTATTACCACGCGATAACGGGAGATCCGGTCCTCACCAAGGCAGCACCGTATGGCGGGAGCCTCCTCATCCTTGGCTGGATTGCTCTGGCCCCCTAACTACCCCACTGGGTCTGTGTCCTGGCGCTGGAGGAAGCTGGGAGATGCCCTCCCCAGCCGTGGCTTCTCTTAGGGTACCGGAAAGGGAGCTGGACTGGTGCGAGAGAGCCCCTCTCCCCAGCTTCAGAGACCAGCACCGGTGAAAGCAGGGCACGTCTTCAAGCAGGCCGTCCTGCGCAAGTCTAGCCAAAGGAGTCCCACGACCCCCAGCATGCCCCAGCTAAGCACACTGGGGCATCCTGGGACCCGTGCGACACTTTTCTGTGTAAACTTGCAGAGAACTGCATCCAAAGCCACAGTCTTTATTCCTTGCCTTCAATCCTGTGCAGAACTTGAATTCTTAAAATGCGGAATCACAAGTTACTTTGTTTTTCTTAGCAAAGCATTTCCCAAATGCACTTCTGTTGCATCTTTGTTGCTTGCGGAGAATGAAGGAATTCCATTGTGTAAGGGTGATTTTTAAAAAACATATCTATGACTTATCTGCATTTATACTCATGTAATAAACAAATCTGATTTACTACTTAAATGCCCATCTGTAAATAGTGGCCGTACGAAACCTGGGATGGGGGAGCCAAAGAGACAGACAGACAGACAGACAGACGGACAGACCACGTCACGTGGACTCTTCTCTGTCCAGCGTGAGCTTGGGTGTTGTGTGAGCTTGGGTGTTGTGTGAGCTTGGGTGTTGTGTGAGCTTGGGTGTTGTGTGGCAGCCCGGCAGGATGCCCAGTTCTCCCCAGCCTTGCTCTGCTCCTGGAAGTCCCGGGCCGTGGCTTCCATAGTAAAGCAAAATTCCTGGTGGGATCCTTTGGGTGCTTACCTCAGAGAAAGCCTATTGAGTATAACATGCCAGGGAGAGTGCTGTATGGCTGAAGGCACGTTCACGCGAGCGCTGGTGCGAGGTGAGGTGGTCTGCTGGGGGGGGGGTGAAAACAGGAAGTACTAATGAGTGGGGTGCCCCCCCCTGTTGCAGTGACTGCAAGCGAGTGGCTCGTAAAACGGAATGATCCTGGCCACGTCTTTGGCCCTGGAAGACTATCGTGAAAAGAAATGTGCACCCTTATCCATCTGCATCATGATTTGGTGCTCAGATTCAAATTATTTTCAATAGAATATTTGCAGGAGGAAGCATGCAGCGGCCCCGAACACACCGCAGCACAAACCCCTGCAAGATGGTGGGAAGAGGCAAAGGGCTGCCACAGGGCTTCTCTCAGGCTTCCTCAAGCAGGGATCCTCCAGATGCCTTTGAGCACAGCACCCATGATCCCCAGCCAGCATGGCCGTTGGCCAAGGCATCTTGAAGGCCGGGGAAAGCTTTTCTAAAGAATGTAAAGTAATCCAGTCCATGTAATTCCCATGTTGGAAGGGCGATGTGGCACCAGCTGGAGCTCCCGCCTGCATTTCATGTTCCCTGGTGCCACCACCAACAAGGCCGAGTCCCAGGGCCTGGTGCCGGGCGCCTCCTGGGGTGGAGTAGGGCTGGACCCTGCTGCTGCGAGGGACCCTGCCGTCCTGCCAGAGGGTCGCGTGGGCCAAGGCAACACGCCAGGCTGGGAAAACCCTTGCCAGCCGCCTGCAGGCCCAGCCGGAGCGGCGTCCCCCCCACCTCCTTTCTTCAGGGCTTCTGCAACCTGAAGGGCCGAAGTTTTGTCAAGTTCGAACTGCCCTGCAGTCTAAAAATAAGTGCAACTATTTTTAGCCCCGCCAGCCTGAGGAGGAGCTCTGTGGGGCTGTTCTGGGGCAGCCCGGGCTGCGCAGGGAGGGGGCCGCGGGTCTGTCCTTCAACCGGGCTGTGCCGAGCCAGGCCTGCCGGGGAAACCGGCTCCAGCGCCGTGGAGCTGCGTCGGCCCCCCGGGACTGCCCGGGAGGCAGCGGCGCTCTCCGCATGCCCCAAGCAGCTCTGCACGGCCAGGCAAGAGGGGTCACCGGGGGGATCGCGCTGCGAGGCCGTGCGGGGAGGAGGGGGTCTTCCGGTGGGCGCGAGTGCGGGCAGCCGGGGGCAGCCGCGTGGGCGACACGCGGGCGAGGGGGGCTGTGGGAGAGCGCGCCTGCCGGGGGGGGGGGCCCTCACGTGCGAACGGCCCGCTGTTCTCCGAGTCCACGAAGCATCCCAGGCCACGGATCGGGCCGCGCCGGCCTTCCCTCTCGCCGCCTCCCGGCGGGGCGTGCCCGGCCCGGGCCCCGGGGAGCTGGCAGGCGGCGGCGGCGGCGGGCAGCCCCGCCCGGCGGCCGCTCCCCTCCTCCGCTGCCGAGAACAAAGAGCCGAGCCCGGACACGTCGGCGCCGCGTGCGCACGGCCGCCCGGCGCCTCCCTCCCCGCTTCTGCCGGTGCCGGGCCGGGCCGGGATGCCCGCGGGGGGTGTGGGCGGACCCTCCCCGCGTCGCTCGGGCCTCGGCGTGGCTCCAGGGCGTGAAGGTACCCGGCGCGGGGGACCGGGGCGAGGGAGGCCGCCCGCCCGCCCACTCGCCCCCGGCGCTGGGCTCCTTGGAAGAGGCGGGATCTGCGGGCGCGGCGGCCAGAAGCCTCCCGCCGCCGCGATGAGCGGGCCGGGCACCGCTGGAAGGGCGCCCCCCGCCTCCTCCTCCTGGCAGCCTCGCAGGCAGCCCCGCGCCCTGCAGGGGTGGTGGACTTCAGCCCCCATCAGCCCCAGCCGGCAGGGCCAGCCCTCGCGAAGGTGGGATTCGCGCTCCGGCGCATCCGGAGGGCGCGCGGTTGGGCGAGGCTGCAGTGGGCCGTTCCCAGCCCGCCGCCCTCCGGATGCGTCGGACCACAACTCCCATCCTTCCCCGTGCTGGCTCAGGGAGCCACCCAGGGCCGTGCGCGCGCGCGCGCTTCCTTGCCTTCTACAAAGAAACCCAGGTGGGGCTGGGGGGGGGGTCCCGATCCCTCCCCGTTTTTTCTCCTTTCGGGCTAAAGACAGAGCTGGGCGGGCGCGGAAACTGGTGCCGGGGAGGGTGTCTCGCCCGCGGCCGGGGGGGGGCGACCCGCCGCGCCGGGCTCCAAACACACGCGGGCGCCGTGCGCGGAGAGCGGCCGCTACGCCCCGCGCCGCCCGCGACTCTCGAGGAAAGGGCGCTGGGGGCAGCGCCGGGGCGCCCCCCCCCCGCGGCTCCTCCTCCTGCCCTCGGCCCTTTCCTTTCCAGAGGTCTCGATCCGCCGCCCCCCGCCTGCCCAGGGCTGCTGCTGCGTGTAGGGGATGCTGCGCGTTGCGGGGGGGGGGTGCGGGGGCGGCGTTCACGTGCACGGCGCGAAAGACTCTCGGACTCCTTCCCGGGGGCTCCCGGCCGTGGGAAACGCGCTTTCGGCGGATGCAGCGTCTCGCCTGTTTCCACCCCAACCTGGCGGCGTCGGAAACAAACGGCAGCGGAGCTGGGGCGCCGCCCGGCCTGCTCCCCCGCCGACCCAGCCCGCGGCCAGGCGTGTCCGGGGCGGGCGCTCGGCGGCTCCACGTGGCCTGGGCTGGAGGCCCCCGCGAGAAAAACAAGCCTGGAACGCCCCCCCCCCCGTCTCCCTCCCACCAGCAGCCCGCGGAGAGCTTCCCTGCCGCTGAAGAGGCTGCCCCCGCCTCCCCCCCGTTTTAGGGGGGCCGCCCAAGCGTGGCTTCTACTCCGTCTCTCCAGAGATCCGTTCGTGGGGCAGGAGAAAGCGCAACTTGGTGCGTGCGCTTTGGAGAGGGCAGGGTTGGTGGGGGAGACGCCCGGGAGCCAGGGGTCCCGCGGTGCCTGCGCGGGGAGAGTGCTGCCTAATGGTCAGAGCAGGGAAGGAGGCTGTGCGGCGTCGTGGGCTCTCTGGGAAGAGACGAGAACCCCCTCTGGGGACGGTTGGCGCAACCGCGACCTCGGGAGAGCCCGCCGAGGAAGCGGCGGTGCCCTTGGACATCCCTGCTCGGCTCCGGGGCGGGGGGCTTGGCGGGGCTGAATCTGCAGTTTTGAGGGTGCGATCCGGTTTCACGCACGTGCTGAGGCCGAACCGCTGCGCCCTGGAACGGCCCAGAGGCTCTTCCAAGCGTGGGCCCCGTAGGGTCTTTTTAGTTGGAGGTGCGAGGACGGGCCTCGGGGGCGCATTTCGGGGGACCCTGCTTGCGTGTGCTACGGAAATGTGTGAGTGCGCAGGAAGGGCGTCTTGCGGGTCCCACTGCTGGGTTTGTCGGTTTGAGAAGCGGCCTTTTGTGATCCGTTGGACTGGGTACAGCTTACGCGTGCTTGGCAAGTTGACTGAGCGTGTTCAGACGGTGCACGTCTCTGCATTTTGCTCTGCGTGTGTGCGAGAGAGAAAAACGATTGAGCCTCTATTATCTCGCGTGTGGACCTGCTTCATGTGCACCTGAGTTACACTCCCTGCAAACTGCCCTTGTGCAAGACACAGTTTCCCCTGCACAAATCGCTTCCCGCTGCGTTTCTGTTGTCCGTCGGCTGAAGCGTGCCCAGGAACATCACCAATGAGCACAGGGAAAGGAAATGGAAAAAGGAATGGTTTTTCTGTTCCGTGTTTTGTGTGCTGTCCAATTTTAGCTTTATTTTGCTGCATGTACATCTTTGGTGTGGGTTTTGTGCTGAGAGGCCCTGAACTGAATTGTGATAATGAAGAATGGGTAGAAATTGGAGGAAGCGAAGGGGAAATGTCACCACCGGCTGTTAGAAGGGCCTGGGGCAACTGGGAAAGGCGGGGGCGCTCAGGAAGACTGCCTGGCTAGACTGGTTGGTGGAAGAGAAGCCAAGCGCAGCAGGGAGTTCTCCTGCACATGGTGCATTGAAATGAATGGGGGGTTCAGGGAGCCATTTTCAGGAAAGCGTCCTTCTGGCTGGTGCCCTTTGTCTGAAAGTTTACTCTCTCCTTTTGATTATGAAATCTGCCGCAGAGTCTGTGCAGAGGCAGACACAGGAGTATTTGCACACTTAGGAGAGAAAAGGCTTGGGGTCCGAGCTCTATCCCCTTTCTTATCATGGGATCTGGGCTCTCACTCCATTCCTTTCCCACCCCCAGACAGATTCCAGGCATCCCAGTATTTCTCAAACTGTTTGTGCTGCTTATCTGGAGGCCAATGAAACCTTTCAGCCAAAAGCGACACCCTCCTCTGCCCCCCTTGTAGGGACCGCGGATGGAAGGAAGCAGCTAGCCCAGATCAGAAAGCCGCGGGGACCGGGGTCCCCCACCCCCTGCCCCTGAAGACAGAGTCGGCATGGCGGCTCCAGGTAGGGACGGTCCTGCTCTCTCCCCGCTCAGCCGCCGCTCGCTGTTCCACTTGCGAATTATGGAGGAGAGCACCCAGCGCCCCCAGCCTCCCTGGGAGGATGGGGGCCACTGTGGGAGCTGCCGCGTGGGTGGGCGGCAGTGGTGGGAGGGGGGCTTGGTGGGGGTCTTCCTTAACCTGATGCTCTGTGTTGGAGTGGCAGGCTGGGAGTTGCCATTCAGCACCATCTGGAGGGCACCAGGCTGGCAAAGCTGCCTGACAAGATTGTGGAGGATTGGTGCCCCTGGCGACTGGGCAGGAAAATCCGATGGGTGCCAAGTTCGGAATGTCCATGCCTGAATAGACATATGAACCGAATTCAGGAATGCTTGGTTGATTTGTGGGGTGAAGCTGTGGGGCTGAGCCTAGAGGAGTCCCCCGAGGGCCCTCAGATGCACCCTTTGCCAAGTGGAGCCTCCACGTGCCGCTGCAGTCTACCCCGCTTGTCAGCGGCTGGGGCAGAATGCAAGCGGACAGGCGTTGCCCTCGGGCCGTGCAGGCGAGGCGGCCACCGATGCGTGTCTGTCACGGTGCCGATTAGTCTGCCCCAGCGAGGCTGCCGCGGCGCCAGCCCTGCTGCAAGGAGGCCCCCGGCCTTGGCCCCTGCCGTCCGCCCGCCCGCCCACTGCGGGGAGCGTCCCCTGCGCTGCCTCAGCAGCTCAAGGCCGCGGGTGTGGGGGCTGCGCTGCTCCCTCCCTCCCTCCCTCCGCCCCGCCGCCGCTTCTGCTCTCCATGAATGCCCAGTGGGGGGGGCGGGGGGGGCCGGGCAAGGGTCCCCAGGCCTGTCCCTGCCGGCAAGCCCCCCGCCTGCCCGGCCTGTGCCGTGGCAGCCGCGGCCCGCCGGCTGCTTGCGTTCTGGCACCCGGCAAGGCCGCCTCCTCCGGGCAGGGCCAGGCCCTCCATGACGGGGCCTGGCTGGAATGCCGCTGGGCTGGCTGGGGCGCATGGCTGCTGAGTCACTCCGCCACCCCGCCGAGGGCGCAGGAGCGTCCCCTGGCCCCAGGCCAGCTCCCCTGGCGCCCATCTGCTCCCCCCACGGCTGGCGGGCTGCCCTCTCTCCAGCCGGCTCCCTTGACCTGACTTGACCCTTTTTGGCCAGCTGGCACCTCCAGAAAGATGAGATTCCACCTCCTATCATCCCCAGCGAGAGCCCTTGCCCTCTTCTCTCCTTAAACAGATGGCATGAAGGCAGCCAGGAGTGCAGAGAGAGCCTTTCTTTTCTTCAGTGGCTGCCCGGATCCTGACCCATCTGAGCCCGGGGGGACGGGGGACCCCCTTGTCCTCCAGTGGGGGCAGTGCTGAAGGCAGCCGGCCTCGGACGCTCCGCTCGTGCCCGCCTCTTCCCAGCACGCCAAAGTGCTTTTGGGGGGCTGCTGTCAAAACAGACTCCCCGGGATCCGGGCAGTCAAAGGGCCTTTGTCTGCTCGGAGACGGCGAGCCGCGGCGAGTCCACGTGGCTCGTGATCCCGGAGGAGGAGAAGCCGGTGCCAGCCGGGCCCAAGATCCCATTGGGCCCCTCGTGATTTTTCCCTATTTTGAATTCACTTGGGGGGGTGAGCTCCCCTGGCAGGAGCAGAAAGGGGGTGGCCCCAGACAGGTCGTCCTGTCGCACGAAGCCGTCTCTGTCTCCTTTCTGCCATCTGTCCCTGCCTGCCCCGTGACTTCGAGGCACATCATCCCCGCCCTCGCTTCCCCCACCACACCCAGCAGCTTTTGCAGCCGGATTTGGCATGACTCCCTCCGGCGCCGCCTCTTCCTTTGTTCCAAGGAAAAGGGCAACCCAGCCTCCCAGCCCTGCCACCCCCCCCGCCTGCCCCCTCCCGCCCTCGCGCACGGACCCCTCTGAATCCCTCGTGCCGCTTCCCTTCCTCCCCACCCAGCCCTGGCGAGAACCCCATCCGTGCTGGGCCTCGTCTCCCCCCGATCCCACCGTTCAGCCCTCCGTGAGCAGAGGCCCAGTCTGTTTAAAGCAGGCCAGTATCTGGGGGGGGGGGGGGTTGGAGGGAGGCCCCAATTCTGGCCACCTGCTGCTTTGGAGACTGCATCTCCCGGGATCCCGCTGTCTCTTCATTCCCCTTTACCAGGAAAGGAATGTAAGGCAGCCCCCTTCAGCCTGGTGCCTCGGGGAAGGCCGACTCCGGGGGCAGACGCGCTTCTGACCGCCCCCTTTCTCTGCCCGTGCCCGCAGGTTACCACGTTCCGCAGCCGGGGTATCCCGCGGTGTCCCCACCGTACCCGGTGCCTCAGCCGCACCCGGTGCCCTCTGCACCCAGCGTGGGGCTCAGCGTCTACCCGCCCACCAGCCCTGGGGCAGGGCAGATCGTCCCCCCGCAGCCGCCCCCCCGTGGCTTTCGGGAGCCGCACCACCAGACTCCGGACCCCCACGCAGCCGTCGCCCCCTACATGCCGGTCGCCACCGGCATCCCGCCCGGCTTGGAGTACCTGGCACAGGTGAGCGCGCAGGCCGCGCCAGGTGGAGCAGGCGGCCCCGTGCAGCGGGTTCTGGGCTCGGCCGCTGCGTCGCCAAAGGGACCGGGGCAGTACGGCGAGGAGGCACCGTGGCCTGGCTCCGGCGTGGGCCGTGGGCTGTGCGGGTGTGGCCGACCGGGTGGCCGGCACGGCTGGGTTCAGACGGCGCAGTGTTGCAGCAGCAGCTTGTGGCTGACGGCACTCGAGTGGGGATGATGGGCTAGCTTCGTGGCCAAGGGGGACTCGAGCCTGGGTCTCCCGAGTCCTCTGCTGGGGCTGGAGGATCCCGCGGCCCGACCCTGCAGCGTGGCCTGGCTGCCTCCTGGCTCCACAGTGGAGCCCGGCTCAGCCCGCAGCATCTCCTGGTGGGGCTGGGGAGGAGCCGCCCTGAGCTGCCGGCCTGTGCGGACCCCGCAGGGCCAGACAGCCTGGGGCCCGACTCTTTCCCAGCCCTGCCATGCCGGTGCCCGCCCAGCAGGCTGGACTACAGCTCCCCTCGCCCCCCGCAAGCACGGCTGGGGATGGTGGGAGTCTGCGCGTGCCGTCGGTGTCTACTTGCCTTTAGTCGGCACGATGCCAGGTAACCTGTGCCTAGAGTGGGTTGCGCGTGTGTGAGGAGTGTCACACAGCCCCCACCCTGAGGTTGTGTTACTTCTCTTTAGATTGACCAAATTTTGATACACCAGAAGGTGGAGCTCACAGAAGGTATGTGAGAGAGGGGAGGGCACGCTGGTGGCCCCCCACCGGGCTCTTTCCAGCCCCCACTCCCATTTCGTAGAAAGACCGATGTTGCTTCTGGGGCAACACGGTTGTTCCCCTTCGGTCCCCAGGGCCTCTCTGGGTGCCTTTCCAGCTGGGCAGTGCTGGGAACTGGGGGGGGGGGTCCCTGTGGGGTGTACAGACTCTCTGAGGCCGTGAGCCCCTGGCCTGTGAGGTCCTCATAGGGCTGGGACCCGGAGGCCCCGTTTTATGGTGGCCCCTCTCTCTCGCGAAGGGTGGCTTCAGAAGGGGGCCGGGGGTGGGGGCTTCCTGGGCACCGTGCCTGTCAGATATGGCCCGTGAAGCCCCCAGCGTCTGGGGACCAGGCAGCCGTCTCAAGGGCGAGACTGCCCAGTTTGGGGCTCTCCGGGGAGACCCTTCCAAGTCCCGCCACCCCGAGGCGCTTCAGGAGGGAGCGAGGGAGGGCCTCCCCAGGGCTGTGGGGGGCTGGGGGGCGACCCCCCCCAAGCGAGAGGGGGCGTGTTCCCCTCCGATGCCCGCTAGGCACAGGCCTCTGGTGTCCGGCCCGCCCGTGTGCTCGCGCCAGAGAAGCGTCACCCGGCCCCTGCCTTCGTTTCGGGAAGCGCCCCTCCACGTGGGGTTTGGGGTCTGGAGGGCCGCCCTTGCCCCGTGGCTTGGTGTTCTCGGCTCTCCTGAGCGCCATGTGCAGTGCGAAGGGCCGGGTGGGAGCGTGCGAAGGACGAGGGGCCGGGGCCCCTCGCCGGCCGTGCCGCCTGACGCCCGCCTCGGCCCCTCTCCCCCAGCGTTCCTCGGCTTCGAGGGCAAGAACCGGTACGAGGTGCGCAACACCCTGGGCCAGCCCGTCTTCCGGGCGGAGGAGCAGAGTGACTGCTGCACCCGCCACTGCTGCGGCTCCCTGCGCCGCTTCTCGCTGCGGCTGGACGACCCCGCGGGGCGCGAGGTCCTGCGCATGGTGCGCCCCCTGAAGTGCGTCAGCTGCTGGTTCCCGTGCTGCCTCCAGGAGGTGAGGGGCCCCGGGGCGCTGCTCCCGGCAGCCTGAGGGCCGCGTCTGATCTCGGGAGCCGTGGGGTGGGGGGGGCTGGGGGGGGGGGGGGGGGGGCAGCGCACCGGGCCGGGTCGGCCTGTGCCTGCGATCTGATGCTTGTTTCGACCGAGGAAGGATTCCTGCAGTTCTCAGCACTGCGCTCGTGGAACCCGAGCTGGGGACGGGGCGGGGGTTGCCGGAGAGGATCCGCAAGCCCTCGGAACGGGGGAAATGCCGCAGTGGCGTGAAAGGAAGCGATCCCCTTGCGGGCTGGGGGAGTCCCACAGGCTGTGCCCCATGCAATGGGTTGCTCCTTAATTCCGCCCGCCGGGAGACCCCCCCAAACCCCTTAACGGGCGAGCAGAGCCCAGGGCAGCCGGCGGCTTCCCACCCGCCACTGATCCCTCGCAGGCCCCCAGCCGCAGGGAGCCGCACACGGATCCTCATGCGCGGCACGGATTCTCTCCGCAGCTGGAGGTGCAGTGCCCCCCAGGCACCACCATCGGCTTCGTGCAGCAGACGTGGCACCCCTTCACGCCCAAGTTCTCCATCCAGAACGTGGAGAAGGAGACGGTGCTGCGGGTTTTGGGGCCCTGCTTCGCCTGCAGCTGCGGCGGGGACGTCAACTTTGAGGTGCTCACGGTGGGGGGAGGTGGGGGACACGCTCCTGGACTCGCCTTTGCGGTGGGAGGTGTCGGGGTGAATGTGGGGCGACCGTCCCCCGTAGCAACACTCCAGGGAGAGCCTAAAACTTCCTGCCCACAAAGCTGCTGCGGCAGCTCAAGCCGCAGGGTCGGCAGGGCCCCGGAGCGCTTTGCTTGGAAGTGGGGAGCCATCTGTTCCCGGGAAGATCTGCCCAGAAGAGCTGTGGGGAACTGCGGGGCAGGGGGAGGAGGGCACCCGGAGGGGGTGGCAGGGGACGTCCGAGTCCCTGCTCAGGAAAATGGGTCCAGTGCTCATACCTGTGCCACTACACCGCTGCTGCCTTGCCACCAAACGGTGGTTCTCCTGCTGGAGAAGGGCATTCTGCTTGTGCTCAGCCGCACCCTGCCCTTATGGACATTGTCGCGGAAGCCAGAGCGGCTCTTTTTGAAATCCTCTCTGTCTTTACGGCCAGAGGATGGGGAAGCTTCTTTTGCTGGGTGGAGGCGGATGCGGCTTCCTGTGCCATGGGACCTGCGACTGGCTCTTGGGGCCCTAGGGTGGCCCTCTATGCAGCCCCTTCCGTATCTCGGAGGCTTGCCTGGGAGGCCCGTTCTGAGCCGCGGGGCGTTAACTGATGCCAGCCCCAAATACACCCCGCAGGTGAAGACGCGGGACGAATCCCGAGGCGTGGGGCGCATCGCCAAGCAGTGGAGCGGCCTCGTGCAGGAGGTCTTCACTGACACAGACAACTTCGGGGTCCAGTTCCCCATGGACCTCGACGTGAAGATCAAGGCGGTGCTGCTGGGAGCGTGTTTCCTCATTGTGAGTCTGCCCACCGAAGAGCGCCTCTCACGCAGGGGGGCTGCCCTAGAGTTGAAGTGGAAGGATGGGGCTTGCAAGGGGAGTGAAGAGGAAGCCTGCCCCATGGGGGGGGGGGCAGGCTGGGGAAGGTGTCACAGGGCATGCCCGGGTTCTTTTTTTAATCGCCCCAAAGCTGCTTCAGGGCTGGCCACATGCTTCCCTTCAGGAGACGGCCCAGAAACTGCATGGGTAACACTTCTCTCTCCCCCCACTTTGCTTGCAGGATTTCATGTTTTTCGAGAAGACGGGAGTTGGACAGCGGAGTTCGGTGATCACAAGCTAGGGGCACCTCCGATCTGGGCGCCCCCTTCCCCGGGGGGCCCCTTTCCAGGGCTGATGAGCAGGGGTGTGAATGCTGTGGATGAGTGTGGAAAGGCCCCGTCCCCATGGTGACCTGCAGACCCGAGGTAAGGGGCGAGGGGGGTCGCCCCGTGTGGGTCCGCACACGGGTTTGCCGGGTGCCCCAGAGAAAGAAGCAGGCCTGGATCCACGCTGGAACACCATCTGTGGGGAGGGTGTGTCTAGTGCCAGGGGAGAGTGTGGAACGAGGGTCCGCGTGCGTGGATGGCGCGGATCGGGACCAAGGCTTCCTGCCGCATCTAGCTTGCTTCCGGTTCTCTGGCACGTGCTTTGAGCTCAGCCTCCCCTGCCTGGTGCTTTCCAGGCGTTTGGTACCACAACTCCCATAATCCCCAGGCATTGGCCGTGCTGGCTGGATGTGGTGGAAGTTGTGGCCTGAACATCTGGGGGGCGCCCAGTTGGGGAAGCCTGCCTGGAGGACATGTGGAGGCGCTTTCCCTGCGAGCGAGCGATTGTGAAAGCGCCGGCTGAGCTTCAGCAGGAGGTGCAGCAGAGTTTTCACCTGCCGTGTGTGAATGCGAGTCAGGGGGGGCAGCTCGATTCAGGATTTCTACCCCAGCTGCTGCGAGGGGGCCTGGCCGGGGTTGTTAGGGACGGCTGCCGGTCTGGGGCCTTTCAGATCTTCCTTGGGCAAGGGGATGTTCCGGGCTGGCCTGGAAGAGAGCTGTTTGTCTGGATCCGTGGAGGCCTTCCGGGATTGGGCGTCGGGCTTTTCCCACGGGGGGCAAAGGCCAGGTGGAGCGGCTGATGGCCTGCATGCGCTTCTCTGGGCGTGAGCAACGGGCAGAGCAGAGAGCCGGCTTCCTGGGGCCGAGCTGCAGGGCACAGTGGGCGGAGGGGGCCGACTTGGCTCGCTCGCTCGCTCGCCCGCTGGCTGGGAGGACTTGGAAGCACCAGGGGCGTGATGTGAACGGGCCCGTGTGGGTGGCAGCGAAGCAAACCCCGTATGTGTGTGCGTGTGTGTGTGTGTGAGAGAGAGAGAGAGAGAGCTGGCAAGGTGGACATGGCCCAAGCACCCCTCTTCTCCACAGTGTGGGGTTCCCTGCCAGAGCTGGGGTGCATCCCTGCAGACGGCCCCTCCCGCCCCAGGGCCCCCTCCGCCTCCGCGCGCCGGGCTGCTCATCAGCCCCTTTGCCTTAACCACTGGGGCAGGGGGTGCCCCTTCCGTATCCCTTGGGCAGGTTTCCCCTTCCCGCTTGCCAAGGAAACCAAAGGCTTACGTCGTGTTGTTACGTGCGTTCTGTGCATTTTATATATTTAAATGTTTATACTTAATATTGTCTTGCAAAGGGCTGAGTGCAGAGAAGGCGGGGAGGAGAAAAAACCCTGCCCTTTAATGCAGCCTTCCTAAGTTGGTTTCCTCCAGAAATGTTGGCCCCAAAACGCCAGGACCCTGGGGGTTGTAGTCCCACAGAACTGGGGGGTGCCAGAGGTTGGTCCTTGCCGAAGCAGCAGGAAAGGAGACTTCCGGGCTCACAGAGTGCAGCAAGCTGCCCGAATAAAGGAACTGGTACCAAGTTGCGCCCTGACCAAAGTTAGACTGTTGCATGTGAAGAAACCGTGGGAAGATCGGCCAACGGACGGTGGTGCCCGAAGCCCTTCGATGGTTGTCTTATTAACTTGACATGGTTCATGGAGTGGGTGGGCCGTGGAGGGCTGCCCCCACGGCCCTGTTCCTCCGTGGCAAACCGGGGAATAAATGTATGTCGCTCGGTGGTTCTTCTGCCTTTCCTGTGCTTTGGACTCTCTCGCATTTTCATGTTTGCTGGATCAGCACCAGCCTATCCCGCTTCCCGGTAAGGGCCAATGTTGCGGTAGGGCAGGGTGGCCCGACAGGACCCCAGAAGGCAGCGAGGAGAAGAGGGGGGCTGCCGGGGAGGCCTGCGCCGGGTCCTGAGCCAGCGGTACCCAGCCTGACACCCCCCCCCCCCGTTGTGCTGAACGGCCTTCTCCGCATTGGTCTGCAGGATTCTGGGAGCTGCGGTCCAGCACGGCTGGAGTGCAGCCGGTTGAAGTCCGGCTCCAGCAGCCCAGCTCCGTGTCTCCGTGCGAGCGCTGCAAGGCAGGGAAAACGTACTCTAAAACGTTGAACACGGATGCAGCCCGCGGCACTCCTGCCGTGCCTCCCGTGCGCTCGCTCCCCCCACCCACACGGCGCATGCTCCCCACGCCACACGGCTCGACGCGTTCGGCGCATTTTCGAGCTCTGGCACCGGAGCGGCGAGGTGGCGCTCTGTTTCTGAACGCAAGTGCAAGACAAGGGTTAGTACTGCAGGGCATGCTGCTGCGAGGTCAGTTTATTCTGTATGTACAAATGTAACACCACGCACTCCACATGCGCTCCCAGACGCACAAAGGGTTGGGACACGCACCCAGGCGAACATGCAATCCTTCAGCTGCTTCCTCGTGGTCCGCTTCTGGAGAGAGCAAGGCTTTGCAGCTGCGCTCTCGAAGTGCATTTTGGGAGTTGTAGTTTTGCACCACCGCTGTGACCCCCCCCCTCCCCGTGCTGGGTTCTCCCTTTAGGATTGGATGCCATCCCATGGATAGGAAGCGGCCGGCCGGCCCCTCCGTGCAGCTCAGCTCGTCGTGGCGTGATGCTTGCGGTAAACGCGAAGCGACTTAATTGGATGAGTTTGGAGCATGTGCTCAGGAACGTGGCCGAAAAGCGCAGGCTTGGTCGAGAAGGAATAAGCACTTCTCTAAGCTCCGTGAAAGCAGATCTCGCGAAAGGGAGACGTTCACACAGCGAGCCACAGGAGTGCTGCCGAAATTCATCATGGGGGCCTCTGGTCTGTCCAGGGAAGAGCCCCCCGGTGGGTGGAAGGCAATCCTGGATGAAGCCCCCGGTCTCCCAGCCACCTCCTTTAGGCAAGTCACATCCTTGTCGGAGTGTTAAACAACATCCTGCAGCATGGAAGACAATTCAGTCCTGTTGAGTCCAGAAGTGTGCAACCCAAGCCCGAGTTTGCCTCCAAGAGGACTAGCACCTTTGATAGTCTCCACCAACAACAAAGTAACCCTGAGAGGCGCACTTCCTTGCGGGGGGGTGGTTGGCGCGCAGGCAGGAGTCTTGGATGCCTCCGCACCACCCAGTGGGAACGTTCTGCAAAAGGCCCCCTTCTGTGGATGGGGAGGGGGGCATCCCGGCGCCTCGCGGTGGCCACCAGTGCAGGGAGGGTGTTGCTCGGCACGGGGGCTGCGAGGAGCGCGGGGCCCGCCAGTCAGGTGCGGAGTTTCCGGCTGAGCACGTAGCGCGAGGCCATGGCCAGGTTCCAGCGGTGCTTCTCCAGGATGTGCCGGCACTCCTCCCGCGAGTGGGAGCTGATGTGGAAGAGCTGGTCCACCTGTGGGTGCAGAGGGGGGAGGTCGCAGGAGGGCGCTCCTGGGGCGGGACCCCCGGGGGGGCCACCGGCCCTGGACGAGGGAACGGGGGCCCAGGTGGGTGCTCCAGCCAGCCAGTGCCCTGGCTGAGGCCGGGCAGAGCACGGACCGCCAGGCACAGGGAAGAGAATGCCCCCCGGTGTCTTTTTGGGGGGCTGCTCCGGGCCTTCCTTCTGCCCTGGGGCTCCGACATCCTGTGGGAAGGCCCTCGGAGGCGAGGCCGCCCTGCGCAAAGCCCACGGCTCGAGCGGCAGGCCCTGGTGGGGGGAGGGTCTCGCACCTTCAGCATCTGCACAGCTTTCTGGGCATCCCACCCGCTCAGCCGCAGGGCCTCCCGGCACTCCTCCGTCGTGGCCCCGTGGATCCGGTCTTCCACCTGGGCGGGCAGAGGGAAGGAGGCAGCAGGTAAGGGGTGCGGGGGGGGGGCGACATTCCCCCACGGGCCCCGATTCTGCCCCCAGGCAGGGCTTGCATGCAGAAGGCCCCCAAGAGGGGGCTTAAAGGGGATTGGGGAGGGGTCTGATCGGGGAGGGAGGGGGCGGCCCCGAGTCGAGGCATCGCTTGGCTTCCGCCCTGGGCTGCTCCAGAAGAGGCTTCTGCCATTATCTCCACACCTATGAGCGTGTTTTGCATGGCTGCCCCCCCCCCCCCCGCCAGGTTCTCTGGAGGGGGGCAAGTTGGACAGGCTGCCCAGGAAGCAGGCAGAAAGAGGGGGTGCAGGGGCCGTGGCGATCGGGGGGGGGGGGGGGCGGGCTGCATGGCGCTGGGGAGGCCTGGGGCTCCGGCTCACAGGCTGTGGGCTGCGCAAAACCGGCACTGGCCAAGTCGCTTCGGCCGGATCGGCTCTAGCGTCCTTATGAAATGGCACAGGATCAAATGAATCTCTGGTCTCGGATCAAATGAATCCTTCCACCTCGCTGGCTCCCTGCCCAGCTCATCCCAAAGCAACGCAATGGGAGCCTGGTTTTTCTGGGAAGGTGAGCATCAACCCTTCCCTGCCCAGCTGCAACCCCAAGAAATGCACAAGAGCTCAGCAGAGGCAACAAGCTTCCACTGGCACCAGTGGGCCAGCACACCCCGGGGAACAGGACTGGGGCCCCCAGGTGGAGTCGAGGCTCAGGGCCTCTCAGACCAGGCCTAGCAAGGACCCCCCCCCCCCCACGTGGGATCTCTAGGGAGGAAAAGACAGCTGCAGGCAGAAGAGACATCCGGGCCCGCTCTGACCCCGATAGCCAGGAGATGAGTCGACTTAATATTTTTCCTCTTCCCTCCCCACCCCTCTTTCCTCATATGTTATGACTTTTCCAGATCGTAAGACTTGTTCATGTGAAAGACCATAAGACTTTCTGGCTGAGGGGGTGGGGGGGGAATCCATAAACGCAGCTGGCCAGTAGCGTGGGAGGCCCTTCTCCGCCTGAGGCCTCGGGCGCCATTGCTGCTAGTCAAAGCATTCCAGGCTCCCCAGCGCAGTGCTCCTCCAGATGTGCCGGGCCAGGAACGAGGGGCGTGGCAGTCCACCACATCTGGAGGGGCACGAGGGTGCGTGTGTGCTGGCCCCTCGGGAGCCCCGAACCCGGAACGCCGGCCCTACGGGGGCCCACTGGGCCAGCGCTCCTCGCCCTCGATGAACTGGGAGTCACAGACCCGTTTGCATCCTGACCTCCTTGACCTTCTTCTCTATGTCGCTCAGGGCCAGCCTCTGCCCGCCAGGGGGCGCCGGGGCCATCGCTCCTTTGCTGGCCGGCCTGGGCAGCCGCTGGTCCTTGTCTCCGGCCACCGGAGGGCAGCCGGCCCTGGGCAGAGCCCACGAGGGAAGCGTCGGGTTCGGGAGGCAGGGTGCGGGCTTGGCAAGCCGAGGCTCTGGTGGGTGGGCTGCAGGGAAGGGCCCCGGGAGGTCGCTGAAGCGCCGCTGGACGGGCACACGGGGGTGATCCATCTTGAGGGCCGGAAACTTGGGTCTGTTGCGCAGGACGCTGAACTCCGAAATGGACTCCAGGCTTTTGGAGAGGCCTGGGGGAAAGAGCGAGGGCAAGGCCTTGTGGGCGGGGAGGGGTACCTGCGTGCCCGGCGCTGGCACAGGGCATCCAAGGACGGGCTCCGTGGCCCAAGCCCCCCCTCTGCCGGCCACGGGAGCAACTCACGTGAGAGCTGCAGTAGCTGCTGCCCCTTGAGGCGAGTCTCGGGTTTGACGTTTCCCCCCTGTGGCTTCGGTTTCTTCCTGAGGTAGAAAGCAGAGCCCGCAGTGACTTAAATTAGAATTAAGGAGCTGAATGGCATAAGGATTCATCACGGAAGGTGCCCAGCTGGGTTCGCGTTTCCCCCAAAACACCCCCAAGCCAGGCGACTTCCCCCCCCCCCACAGCCCCGTAGCCAGTGGGACCTCACAATCCCCTCCCTCCAGGTAGGAATCGCCCTGCAAAGGCCCATCCTCACGCCCCACTTCCCACTGCCGGAATGGGGCTGGAACAGCTTCCCCCATCCTGCCGCCCGGCAACCCCCATCATCCCCAGCTAGCATAGTCGCCGGTCCAGGATCCAGAGGGCCACCACGCAAACATCTGGAGCATCTCAGGCTGGGGGGAGGCTGCATCGGAAGGGGCTTTGTCCTCGGCCCGGAGGTGCCGCGGCCGCGTTCGGACAGCACGGCAAGCCGGGGCGGATTCCGCCTTGCGGGTTGTCACTGGGCTGTCTGAACCCGGGTTGTGGCTTCCGTGGCACTGGGGTCCCCCGGGAAGGGCAGCGACGCGGGAGAGAAATACAATGCAGAAATATCCCGGGGGCAGCCCCCTGCGCCAGACCTCCGGCCCCTGTGCTGACCGGGGAGGAGGAGGTGGGAGGCCCAGGCGAGGAGCAATGCACCATGGGATTGGAAGGGCAGGTGCTGCGGCTGATGGGAGATGTATTTATTTAATTCCTATGCCGCCCCGTCTTGGGCGCGCTCTGGGCGGGCACTTGCCGGCCACAGGAGGACTGAGCGGGGAGGAGGGAAACCGCGCGACCGTGGGCGACGAGGGCGCCGTGGGCAGCCGCGCGAGGTCGTGGCTCATGCCGCGGGCCCACTGCCAGTGCTCGGACCGGCCCGGGGTCCATGCGCGCCTGTGCGCGCCCTCGCGTCTGCGTGTGCTGGACAAGAGCGCTCCCCAGCCCGGAACGTACTCCTCCATCCGGTCGGGGGCCCCCCAGGCACGCTCCGGATCCACGTCGCCGTGGCCCAGGTGGACGAAGGAGCTTCGGATGGGGTGGCTGATCCGCGGGACTCCAGCTGCGGGGGCGGCTCCCTCTGGGGCCACGATGAACGACGGGAAGATGCCCACCTTCAGCGTCCGCTTGTTCTGCCCTCGACAGGTGGGTGAATCCGGGCTGGGCAGGAGCAGGAAGAGGAGGTTTCTGAGGGAAGGCCCTGCTGGCGTCTTTGCCGCACCCCAGATGTGGGGCCGTTGCCCCTCTGCTCATCACGCACGTGCGCGGTAGGAATGGAAGGGCCATAATTCTACAGGGCGCCTTTCCAGCCTTGCTTGAACTGATTCAGGCCTGGTGCGCTGGACTGCAACTCCCATGATCCCCAGCCAGCTGCTTGTGCAGGTTGAGGGAGGCTACTCTAAGCAGTGTGGAGACCAGATGAGAGTGCAGCCAAGCAGTGCCAGCCACAGCTGACTGTGCAACAGCAGTCATGGGATGAAAGAAGCGCTACAGCCTGAGGACTAGAGCCTTGACAAGTGCATGCGAAGAATAACACAGAGGCCCAATTCGGACACGAAGAGGGGCTGATGCGGTCCCAGTGATGGGGCTGGGGGGCTGTTCCCCGAGGCCCCTGGGGCCAAAGCGGGCCCTCCAGGCTCCCCACTCACCTGCCCTCGATAAGGGTGATCGCATCGTGGGCTTCCACCTGCAGCCAGCCCGGCTCGGCCAGGTCCCGGAAGGCCTTCACTTCCTTCGGACGGAGCTGAGCGGGAGAGAGGTGGGCGGGCAGAGCGGAGGCCGTGCCCGGCGGCGGTTGAGGATGGAGGTTTGAGGAGGGGCCCGGGTCACGCTATGGCCGCGCCCCGTTCCCGGGACCCAGCCTTGCCCTCCTCCGGCTACAGATCGTTCGCCTCCCTGGATTTTGCAGTTTTTCACCCTGCTCTGAAAAGCCTTTCCTCCGACTGGAGGGCTTGACCCCGAGCCCGGCTGGCGTTTTCTGGCCGTGGGCCCATCCCTTCGGCACTCTGCCGGCCCCCGGGCACAGCGCGTTGCCTGCCCGGTTCCAGGGGGCTCCGGCCGGGCCGCCGGGCAGGGAACCCGCCGGGGCTCGGGGACTAGGTGAGGCGCGGACGCAGCACCTTCCCGCACCCTCAGCTTCCGCGGCCCTCAGGCAGCTTCCCGCAATGGGTGCACAATTTGGGATTTGTCAAAGAGGAGCGCCCCCCACTGATCGGGACGCCGTCTCTGCACCCCCACCCCCTGCTGGGACCGGGGCCTCCTCCCCAATTTCGCCGGGGGGGAAACGGGAGGTGCTGGCCTTTGGAAGAGGCGAGCTGGCCCAGCCGCACACCCTCGCGGCTGCGCTGCAGGGGGCCCGTCCACGCCCCCGCGCCCCCGCTTACCTCCTGCAGCAGGGTGACCACCTCGCAGAATCGGGGCCTCTCCTCGGGGCCGTGGGCCCAGCACCTCAGCGCCAGCGAGTAGATGCCGCCCGGGCAGTCATCCGGCCGCTCCAGCCGCCCGCCTTCTCGGTCAATCTTGAGCATGATCTGTGGGAAGGAGAGGGTGCGACGGGTCTCCTCGGCAGGCTTGGGACCACAACACCCATCCTCGGCTCTGGCTAGCATGGCCCGTGGACAGGGATGACGGGAGCCGTAGTCAATGGCACCTGAGCGCCCGCGGATGGTCCCCCCCAGTCTGTCCCAGCTGCAGGGGGGCCTTCGGTCACATGCCTGTGCCAAAGTGGAGCTGTCCCTGCGGATTGAACCCGGGACCGGCACAGGCACAACGCACGTGCGACCCCCTCGGCTACAGCGTCGCCCTGCCTGGGGACGGTGGCCCCCTCAGCCGGACTGCCCCGAAATCGACCTCGGGGTGGGAGACGTGCCTCGTTTCTGAGGGAGATCCAAATGGAACCAGCCCACCTTCCCTCCCGGCAGAGTCTGGCGCATCCACGGGGTCCGGAGCCGGGGCACTTGGGGCTGGCACTCTCCAGGGGCCCCCCAAGCAAGCCGTGCACTGACCGTTTCCGGGGGACGGCTGGCAGCCAACCCAGCCAGCCCAACCCAGGCGAGGCCAGGGGGAGCCGGGGGGCTGCAGTGTGTCCGAACCCCGCAAACCTGCCCGAAGCACGAGATCCACCTCGTGGCTTGCTCTGCGCCCCCCCCCCCCCACACACACACAGAGCGCAGAAACAGCCTTCCTCAGACTGGGGCCAACAGGGTGTGGGAGTTCGCGTCCCATCATCCTGGGACTGACAGCAGCACACATCTTTGGTGCCCCAGGTCAGGTAGGGCCGACTTAGAAGCCACACAGAAACCCCCATCCAGAGGCCCACCTGCCTCCCCGAGCAGCCCATCCAGGGCTCCTCGCAGTAGGAGAACATCTCCCAGAGCGTCACGCCGAACATCCACACATCCGAGGCGCTGGTGAAGACGCCCATGCGCAAGCTCTCCGGGGCGCACCTGCGGGGAGGGAGGGCAGGTGAGAAGGCGAACCGTCCCCACGGGCTCCCGTGCCCAACGCTCCTCCGGGTTTGGCCGCTTCTCCGCCCCGCTCAGCCACGCTCCTGGCGGCAGGAGTTCAGCCCGGCGAGCAAAAGGAGTCTTGCTGTAGGGACTCGGCTCCTCCGCAAAGGAACCCACAGAAGCCTCAGCAAGGTTGCTCGATCAAACTGGACCCCCCCAAAAATATTTCTGCCATGGGGGATGCCTCTGGGAAGAGTTAAACAAGCTTTGCGACACCTGGACCGCTGGAGAGTCTTGGGCCGAACTGAGCTCCTCTGCCGGCCACCTCACCACCACACATCTGGGGGCCAGGAGGACAGGGCCCCCCACCCAAAACGGGGCCCTGGTACAAAGGCCCAGCCCTCCGTCTTGGCCTCAACACCTGCGGGGACCAGGTGGCCGAGAGGCACTCAGGCGGGGGCTGGGAATACATGAGGGTCGGCCAAGGAACTTTCCGCTCGATTTCGGGAGGGAAACACGGCTCAGCTGCGCGTGGATCTCGGAGCAAGCCTCGCGGCAGCCCCCGGATGCACACGGCGGGTCTGCAAGGCTCGCTGGCAGGGAGGGGGGGGGCCCCCGCACACGCCCCGCAGCACGGCGGGAATCGGATCGCGCTGCAATTCCACAGGCTTTCGAGAGAACGGGCTCTGGGCCTTGGCCAAGCACAACCGAGCCTTCCCATCCAGGGTGGGGCCGCCTTGCGGCCCAGCGCCTGGATTCAATTTCGGAGAGGCTCCCAGGAGGCGCATTCCTGAGGTGGGCAAGTCTGGCAGCCACACAGCTGGGACAAAGAGGCCGGCCTGGAGGAGAGGGAAGCTCTGGCCGTGCGAAGGTCCGGAGCAGGAGGAGCGTTTCTCCCCGGCAGCGTGGGGGGGAAACACGCCAACGCCAGGAAGCGCCCGCCCGCCCGCCCGCCCGGGGGAAAGAGATGGGCCCGGCAAGGAGCGTGGGCAGGGGGGGCTCTTATGGGATGCACCAGGACCCTGCCCAGCCTTCTCTTCTCATGCTCCAGGGCAGCGATCCCCAAGGTGGGCAGTCCCCACCCCCTGAAAGCTCGGGGCGTGGGGACTGGTTGCGTCAAACATGCCGCAGAGCAGCAGACCTCGTGCCAAGAAGGGGCGTGAGGAGCAAGGGCCGCTACCCCAGAGGAAAGGGGCTTGAAGCCCAAAGAGGGCTGGGAGCCGCCCGGCCCCCCCCCCACAGGGCGCCTGAACCCGTCGTACCAAGCAAAGGGGATGCGCCGGTGGGCCGACATGATGTAGCGGTCGCTCTTGCTCGAGAGGGGCCGCATGAGGCCGAAGTCGCCGATCTTGGCGTGGTCCTCCGAGGCCAGCAGGATGTTGCGGGCGGCCAGGTCGCGGTGGACGAAGCGCCTGGCCTCCAGGTAGGCCATGCCCCGGGCCACCTGGAGGGCGTAGCTCCAGAGCTGGTGCAGCGGGAAGGGCGGCCGGAGGCGGTCGTGCAGGGAGCCCAGCGGGGCCAGCTCCGTCACCTGCCCAGAGAAAGCGCCAGGTGCCTGCCTGCTCGAGGGAGCCAGTGCGCGTTTCCGGGGAAGCGTGCGCGTGCGGCCGCCTCCAGCAAGACTTGCGGGGATGACCGTCACGTCACGTCACGTCCCTCTCGGTCAGCAGGAAGGGGCCCCGTCCCGCTGCCCTCGTCTTCTCCCGTGCCCGGGGGCCTGGCTCCTCCCCTCTATCCCAGCCCCGCTGAGGGGACGGGCCCCAGGGGTCCAGCTGCGGCCGCCCTTACCATTTTGAGGGGCTGGGTGAGCACCACCCCGTAGAGGCGGATGAGGTTGGGGTGGTCCAGGCAGCACATGACGTTGACCTCATTGAGGAAATCGATCAGGGCCCCGGGGTCGGCGGACACCTCCGAGCGCAGCGTTTTCACGGCCACGGAAAGCTGGGGAAGGGACGTGGGTAAGGAGAAAGGAAGGGCAGGAGGGCCCGCAGGCGGTGCCGACAGGAAGACCCACCGCGACAGGCCGGCTGCCCCGCAGGTGCAGACAGCGCCCCCCCCGGCCCCTGCAGGGCGGAGAGCCGGGGGGCCGAGGGGCACACGTACCACCCTCCCGCCCGGCGCGCTCCACTCGGCACGATGCACGACCCCAAAGCAGCCGTCCCCTAGCCGCTCGCCACTCCGCAGGTCCCACTCGCTGATGAGGCACTTCAGGGGCAGGTCTGCCTCCGTCCGGGGCGGTGGGGGGGGCTGGGACGCCGAGGCCAGCTGCGGGGGGGCCGTTTCTTCGTTTTCTGGGCCGTGTCCCCCGGTGAACATCTACAAGGAAAGGGTCAGTTTTATCACTTACAAAAGAGCCCCTCAGTTATGGAACGCGCTCCCCAGAGAGGTCCGCCTGGCGCCGTCGTTATTTGTTTTTCGGCGCCAGGCTAAGACCTTTTATTTAAACGTTATTTTAATTAATTGCCAATTTATTTATTGGTTTTAACTTATTGCCTGGATGTTTCTAGTTTTTATTTATTTATTTATTTATTTATTAAAACATGTTTATGCCGCCCCATTCGCCGAAGCCTCAGGGCGGCTTACAACAATAAATTAAAATAATTATAATCTTAAATTAAAAAATATAAACATTAGATTAAAAATACAAAAATACAATATAAAATAAGCTGCCCTGGCCAGATAAAATCTGATAATATTAACAGTTAAAATGCCGCTTAAATAAAAAAGTCTTCGCCTGGTGCCGAAAAACAAATAACAACGGCGCCAGGCGGACCTCTCTGGGGAGCGCCTTCCATAGATTGGGCGCCACTGCAGAGAAAGCCCTGCTCCGGGTACTCGCCCTCCTAATTTCTTTCACGGAGGGTCCCCGGAGAAGGGCCTCTCCCGCCGATCTCAAGGGGCGGCTGGGCATATACGGATGTAAACGCTCCTTCGTAAGCCGCCCCGAGGCTTATGCAAAGGGGGCAGCATACAAGAATCCCAAATAAATACATAAATAAATAAAATATCAGCTACACCGCTCTTCTGTATAGGCTGCAGTGCCTGATCCTGCCTGATCCCGGAAGCTAAACAGGGCCCGGCCTGGCTGAAGCCTGGCTGGGTGCCTGAAGCGCTGTGCACCGCCAGAGAACGCCTGGTTATGAGAAATCGAATAATCTGACAATAACAGAACGTCCTAACAAAAGGCAGCATCTGAAATCACTGAAGGTCCACTGGGCGTGGGGCAGGGAAGGGAAGATCGGAGAAGAGCAAAACATCTGGACCGCATCCTCGTCCTAACGAAAGTCCCAAATCCGGCTCCAGGAGCTACTCGCCCTCCGGCGGTGGCCCAGAAAACCACACTTCTGGGCTCCACACACTGGTTTCTCCACACGTGTGCGTGGCTGCTGCTTGATGTTTGATTGTGTGTGTGTGGGGGGGGGGGACACCCCCCTTGTACACCCAGGACATCGGCCGTTGCCCCTGTGCCTTCCTGCGCTTCAGGGCCTCTTCCAACCGCCTCTGCCCTGCAGGAGAGGAAGGAAACACAGAAACAGAGCGCATCAGAAGGGGTCTCCCGGGCCATCTAGTCTGACCCCCAGCTTCAGCCAGTTCCGCTCATGACATGCCAGCGCTCCGATTTCTCGCCCCAAACCGTTCACCAGAGTTCATGATACCAATGTGGGTTTCTTTCACGGAATCAGTGGAAACTTTTTGCAGAGGCAGCTCAGATTCCCTCTGTCACCCACGGACAGCGTTTCGGAAAGGGAGTCATATATTGTAAAATAAATATGCCCACATTTGTCCACGGAGTGCGGGTGGGATTCATTCAGCCTCCGGCGCTTCTCATGGGGGCTTGGCTCCCCCGTCGGAAAGCCCCCTTCTCCCTGTTCCTCCAGCCTGATTTCCTCAATGAAAGCTCTGCTTCCAGGATGGCGGAATCCCACGTGCCAAATCACGGCAGCCCCTCTCGGCTTCCCTGCGCAGTCGGGCGATCCCCCCCGCTCCTGCCCCGCTGTCACACGTGCTGCCCCCCCCCGACCTGGGCGCCCCATGCCGATGCGGTCGAGGTCAGACGGCTTGACGTAGTCGAAGTGGCCCGGGCGGGTGACGTGGAGCTCGTCTCGGATCTTGCCGTAAAACTGCTCCAGCTGGATTTCCGCCAGCAGCTGCAGCAGCCATTCCGTGCTGTCGTCCGGAGCCATCACGGCACCTGCGAAGGGTTAAAAAAGGGAGCAGGTGCTTCGTCGAACCCTGGCACCTGTATCAAGGCGGGCCAGGGATGACCTCCACCCCCAAATCCGTGCTAATTCAGTGCCGCAGCTGCTCAAGTGGGAAAGCTGCCCTGGACAGGCTGGCCAGCGAGCATGGGGCGTGCACCTTGGCTCACTTGCTCGAGCCGTCTTTTCCCCAGCGCCCCGCTCTCCCTCTGCGGCAGGCTGTTGTGGATAGTGTGGGCTGGCTCTGGAGGGGCCAGTAACTCTCTGACAGGCCCCTTGGGTCCTTCCCTCTCTCAACGCCTGTGGGGCAGTCAGGGCAGCCGAAGGAATGGAACAGGGGTACCGCGGAGGCCCTGCGGGGCCGGGGACGCAGCTGACCTTCCAGCGTGTCCTTCCTATGAGCGAGTTGCACAGACTGCGGAAGTGCAGCGCTGTCAAGAAGGAAGCGCAATCCTGCAGTGGCCGGGAACGATGGGAGCTGTGGCACCAGGCTGGGGATGGAGGATCTAGGCCTAAACCTTACTTTGATCAGGATGGGATACGTTGTTCCTTCGCTTTCCCTCCCTGGCGGAACTCGACCGGGGGCACGAAGCACAGAGATTCAACAGGAGTGTCTCTCCAGCATGCGGTGAGACACATGATGCGCGTTTCTCCCCCCCCCCCCCCCCCCCCCCCCCCC